GTGTGTGTGTGTGTGTGTGTGTGTGTGTGTGTGTGTGTGTGTGTGTGTGTGTGTGTGTGTGTGTGTGTGAGATAAGTACACATGAAGGATTGTAAAATGTTTGGAAACCTCCCCTGAGATAAAGGCACTAGTAACAGTGTGTTTATTTTAACATGAATTCAGTCCTTTTATTTTATCCCGTAAAAACCTGCAGCATTGATATACTGGATGAATATATGAAAGTCAGTGTTGTTAAATCAGTTACATGGGCTACATTTGAAACAGTTTAAAGCTTTTGAACAATACAGAAGGACCTGCATATATGATTTTTTATCAAATACATGTTTCCGCTCCCAATAACCTCTGCTTATGACTTCTGAATTATAAAACTTCATTAGCACTCATTTAACACATGCACCACGGTGTCTGTGCAACTGTAGTGGAGAGTCTGAGCGTCTCTGGACATTTCTGTCTGCGTTTGCCTGTCACTCACACAAACTATGAGCGTATTTGAACTGGGCAACATCAAAGTGGCTCAGTTTTTCTCATTCATGTTGACTTTGGTTGAAAAGCTTTCAAGTCTTTTTCGTCGATCCACCCCTCTAGACGGTCCTCTGTCTGCAGGTAGGCAAGTGTATCTCAGTCCACTGCTAAGGTTCAAGTAAGGGTCCTTTTTCTTCTAGTGTTTGTGGCTTCATCCTGGATCACCAGTCTCTAGCTGAGCCACTATTCTCTGCACAGAGCTTGTGACACAGCACGCTCTGCCTCTGTGGGGTCACTCAGTGTCTTCTCTTAGCAGGCTAGGCACACCTTCACTCTTAATGGACCAAGGGAGTGCTTCTTTGCTGCAGGTGAGCAGGTTTGGCAGGTATAGGAGGTTTGTTGGAGGCAGGTGTGCTGCGGGATTTGTCTGTGAACGCCTTCCTGAGCTGCGCCACACGGCCTCCAGAGTCTGAATTCTTTTCTTCACTACACACAATCTCTGAAAATGAATAGAGGAGCAATTTCTCATTATCTTGTTAAAATTTGCTCATTAGCATACAAATCCAAAACAAAAATCTGGACATTGGATAAAGCAAGGATCAGAATTCTCAATTGAGATATTAGAGTCGGAGGTTTTAAAAAGAGGTACTTAAAATATATTCGTATCATTCCATAAATCAGAAAATAACATTTTTGCTAGTTTTTAGGAACAACATTTTCTATACATCAGGCTATGAATAACTATAAATGCTAGTGGGTAATTATCTGAAAGTATGGGGAAAAAATGTGTGTCATACGCAACAAGTTAATATGGTAAACCCTTTAACAAATAGATAACATCATAAAACCTTCCCGGGTGATTACTTCCAAGTTTTCTGAAATATTTTTGTTTGAATATAACAATTGGGCATTATTTAGTAATAGTTTTTGGTTCATCTAGCAGAGACCTACAGACACAAATAGACAAAGTTAGTGAATAAAATACCTAAGTGTGGTCTATAGATGAGAGTAACACATGCGTCACTTCCGGGCAAAAAGTACGGCTCCGCCCACTTTTGGGGGACAACAAAGCTGTCATTTGAATGGCGGTCAATACAAATTCTGAAGTTTTTGCCAATCCGATCAGAAATTTAAGAAAACTGTGGATTTTTGGATCTTCAAAGAGCCCGATTACAATGGCCAGACAGCCAAACAATTGCATTACATCATTGGAAATCGACGATCGAGCTCGATATATGGTTAAATATAAATGAAGCCACATCGCTCTTCTTTTACTGTCCTTTTTTCTAGAGGAAGTACAGAAAAACGTAACTCTGGATTTGTTTTAATGTTTGAGGTGCAATAAACGACACAGCAGCTTTTGGCATTATTTTCCGCCTCGCTTATGAGTGTAACAGCTGGCGAAATTACAGCCTCGCCTACTGATTTTAATGTAGCCATATATCGAACCCGATTGTCAAATGATTGAATGTAATTGTTTGCCTGACTAGCCATCTTAATCGGGCTCTTTGAAGATCCAAAAATCCACGGTTTTCAAAAATGTCTGATCAGATTGGCAAAAACTTCAGAATTTGTATTGACCGCCATTCAAATGACAGCGTTGTTTTCCCCCAAAAGTGGGCGGGGCCGTAATTTTCGCCCGGAAGGGACGTAGGTGTTACTCTGATCTATTGGATGTTTTTTTCAACTAGTCTGAATATATATGGAAGCAAAATAGTGCCAAAACTGAAAAGTGCATGAAAAAAACGCCATTGTTTTTGCCTGTATTTTTGCATGTCCTTTAATTTTTGCATATCCTTTAATTTAACACTTGAACAGTCCTAACACTAATCGTATGTATTCTATAAAACATAGTAATATATATTTTTTTTATTGTGCGAAAATGCATTTTCAGATAATCTAATGGGGGTTTTATCCGGATTAAATACCTTAAAGCCATGAAGAATGGTATTGAATTTGGAGAAAATAATCTGCAAATAGAAATAAATGACTTAATAAAAATTAAGTGAGATTATGTGTCTAATAATTTTAAGAGAGCTACATTTTAATCATTTTAAGAGAGCTATATTTAAATTAAAATGCTGTATTGCTGTGTTTTTGAATAACAGTTAGCTCATTTTATTTGTAGGGTCATTTTAAAAAGGGGTTTGATACAGTCATTAATGCCAGAAAAGGACATCTAATCCAATTTAAATGTAAAATAGATGGTCATTTGCATCTAATATATATATATATATATAAAAAAAAAGAAAAATCTGTTATACTGGTCCATTTTTGGTGATCAGTTTGACCCAGATAAATGTGATCACTATAAGAGTTCACACTGTATTTAAATGTGGAAATACCTTTATGTATACCTATGTATAATGAGCGAATGACTAACACATAATCTGCTTTCTCTCCATCTTGTTACCTGTGTCCTGCGTGCCGGCCCTCTCTGTGTCTGACAGCTGGGCTTTGAGCAGCGGCCGGTTGCCATGGCTACTAAAATGGGGCCTGTAGAGAGGAGCCCAGTCTCCCCCTGATTCGCTGTCGCTGTCCTCGGCGGGGTCTTTCAGGTCATCATCAGCACTGCAGGAGTCCTCCTCAGACCACCGGTCATGAGTTGAAGCGGGGTCATCCTGAAAATTAGTGGGAGGACATTCTATGGTGAGACTCTGCTCATCTTATCCCAGCAGACTTAAAACCCATGCACAAACACGTGAAAACTCACACCAGCAAGGGACAGCTGGATGGCCTCTTTAACGTGGAGCTGCTGCTGGGCCTCTCTTCCTGGCAGCAAGTCCAGTGCCTGGACGCCACTCACATCATCAGCGTGGACTCTGGAAGACAAAGACGTCCATTTTTAGTCCCGCAGACAGCCGTCCTAACCTTTTAATCAATCCTCCTGTTAGTCATAAGGCAAATTACTTCCATAATCCAATTATGGCGAGCTCTTTAGTTCAACGTTGATCTTATCAAAGTCCATCACAGTCATGTCATTTGTTGATGAGGCCGAAGGACTTATTAGGGTGGATGTTCTTATGTGTTGGTGCAAAAACACGTGGAAGAGCTACGCTACATAGCTGTTACTTAACATTTGAAATAAAGAAAAGCAAACATAAAGACATAGGTTTATCATTTGATGGAGTTCAGGGGATCTGAAAATGTTGTTGCTTCCATCAAATCTTCTGGATAAAAAATAAAAAATGATGCTTTACATTTGTATAGATTCCATGATCAGTACATGTATTTGGAGTTTACTGGTTATAACTATATATACAT